TAATTAGCAATTATAGAGACTTTTAATAAATTCAATCTTTTCTAAACATATATTGTCAATTTAAGGTATAATTTAGCAAAAACGAGCTATAGAGGCCCTCCATCATCCTCGCCAATTTTATCAGCGGTTCTCTTTTCTTTGTAAATATACTCACCCATAAAATAAATGAGCTACTAATAAATTTAGTAGCCTGTTTTTTTATTTATTATTATTTGTGTTTGAGTATACTTACAAAGAAAAGAGAACCGCCGATAAAATTGGCGGTGATGGTGAGCTTTTATAGCTCGTTTTTGCTAAATTATACTTTAAATTGACAATATATATTTAAAAAAAAATTGAATTTATTAAAAGTATTTATAATTGCTAGTAATTATAGTCTTTATTAATTGATACATACTAGTAATTATGTTTGGTAAAAACGGGCTAAAAATTTGCATAAAGAAACATAAATAATTTTATAAGATAAATGTTGTAAAAAAATAGATAAATGTAGTAAAATTCAACAATTTTTATTTATATATGTAAGATATGCGGAATTAAAATTTTTTCAAGGACTCATTAAATTAAACTATCCCTCCTATGAATAGTCGGCACGCTTCTATCCTGGGGATTTAGTACAGAGACGAACCACATCTATTTTCGACGTAGTTTCTAAACTGAAAATGGATGTACGGGTGATTTCGACGGTAACAGGAAAAAGGCCAGCATGGCGTTTCTCAGGTTTCTCTCTGATATAGATTACTTCAGTCTTCACGTTACCAACGCACGTTTGCTTCGAAATGAACTATCGAGAACTTAACAGTAGCGACGTAATCTCTTGGCGAGCAATCGTATTTCCGCTTAATACCGGGTGATGGAAAATGATAAGGAATGGAGTAATCTTGCTAGTGCGTTAAAGTGTACATAATAATTGATTGAACTCGCGGTTGCCTGTCGGAGTAAACAAACAGTGAAATGAGTCAGTGATCAAGGTACAACTGCAGCTATGTTTAAAGAGGGGGACAACGAGAAAGGAGAATAAAAGAAAGAGAAAGTATAACAGAGGGAGGGAGAAATACAAAGCTATAGGGCAGCTGAAGGGAAGTTGGCATCCATTTACTGTCGCAACGATCGCGTCGGGTAAGTGTCAAACTAACAATTTTCCTTTATCACATCGTATCACATCGATCGGAGCACCTGTCAATTCACGATCGTGACATTGATCTTGGAACGCATATATGTTTCTATAACTCCGACTTTCCATCGATCGAGAGCGCGAACAATGAGTCGTAGTAAGCCACGCGCATTCCTACCGCCCGCTGCTTTGTACTCCAATCACGATATTAGTTCTCGCTTAGTGTTTAAATGAACTTTTTCTTCTTCTTCGCGAACGCCGTTCTTGCTTGAATTGCAATTCATATATAGAATGTGTTAATGAAATCTGAGTTAGTATTTATTATTAAGCTGCAGATAGAGTCTTAATGTAATAATGACATTTATGATACAATAACAATGATAAAGAAATTTTATTGACAATGACTTAAATATTATAGTGAAAGACAAATGTTTCTTACGTTAGTATATTATTCATTCTTTTATTTAATTTGCATTCTGTATAAATAATTCATGCACAGAGTTTATACTTTCATAAAGTTCATAATGCTCTTGTGTTTTTCTTAAACGTTCGTTGAAATATTTTTAATTTAATTTATAGCCAGTTCCACTTTAATGGTCCTGCTACATCTATTAAAACTTAAATTTGTAATTTAAAACTAATTTTTATAGATGTAGCAGAAACTAATTAGTTCTTAGAATTATAATATCTTTTTTTTTTGTTACAGATCGTGTAGTCTCAGGAATCAAGAGGTTATTCGATGAGAAGAAGATTTCGATTTAATCATAGCCATGGATATGGAACTCTCTGATCAGTTATATCGAATTCAAGCTGTTGATCGCGCCCGTAAAATACCCAGCGTGAATTACTTGTGGGATAAATCCACGGAAGTGTACGAACGTGTAAAAGGTACAAACACGTTTGTAAATTGGGCTTTCGACACCGTTGAAAGTGTGTTGAATACGATGATAGAGAAATCCCTGCCAGTCGCTCGACTGATGGAGAAACCAATTTATACGCTGGATAAAACATTATGCCAGGGCATTGATTTTGTCGAAGGGAACTTGCCAATAATTAAAGAAGAACCCAAACAGGTTATACATATACATATGTATATGTATA